CAGAAGGTGAAACAAGGCAGCTCCCTCTGGACTTAGAGCTGGCAGAAGCAAACCTTAGATCAAAAGGGGTTAATGGACTTCTTGCTGCATTATTAAGACTTAATTTCATGTATATTAAGAGAATGTGCTGTTTGGAGCTGCATTCCCACTTGGGCATTTCTGCAAATTGCCTCTTCACCCACGTGGGCCTTTCCACAGTCTTCTAGTCCTCTAGCATCCTTGCCTCACTGTCTGCAGCATCTTTCCTCAGATGTACAAAGCAAGATTCAGACACACAGAGTATAGAAATACCTGGGAGTCTGTCCTTTTGCCTTTTCATTAATGGAAAATTCTGCTCTGGGGGAGGGACCGAGGTGACTACACACAGGGATGTTGTATCATGCCTCATCCTTTCTTTAGAGACAGTGTGAATTTATTAGTAGGCCCCTCTCAGCCAAGTGAAAATTTTTGAATACAAAGTGTTGGGAATATCAACTATACTCACAAAGAAAAGACAAATAGCCAAGAAGAATGAGCTCTCATACTCATGCCTACAAGGGTATGAATGTAGTACATATATCCCCATGCATATAAAAGCTCATTTGTAAGCCTATATGTATCTTTCATACCTGTATGAATGTGAAACTGTGCATATAGGTATAACCAGAAATAGTCACTTATAGTCAGACTTGGGAAGGCATCCATGTCTGCCTGTTAAACAGGAGAGTACATACTCCAATCATGCATGTAACCTTAGACAAACACATCCCACAGATAACTAGTTTACAAAATAATTTCTCTTTCCCCAAACATGATTTCCAGAGGGACTAAGGAAAACTATTATGTGTAGCTCTAAACACAGATTTTGTTTCTAAATTACCCTCCATCAGATCATTCACAGCATGTATTTTTGTGAATTTAACAATTTTCATTAAAATTTGAAGAACAGCAGAAACCCCTAAGATGTGGTCCCTCCCCCAGCTCAAATCTGTGCTTCCCACTCCTTGTCCTTCACATTTCCCTAAAAAGCTGAACAAATGCTCTTCCTGTCCTGTACATGACAGTTCAAGGCTCATCTTTTGTTATTTAATTATGCCCTTAGGAACTTACTTGACACCTCAAAAGGTTTATCAAAGCATTTCTTCTCTGTGAATACAGTGCTCCTATGGAGAAAAAAAAACCTATAATAAATAATATTTTCTACACTTCTTTCTGTAGAGATTGGGAAACAGATACCTCAACCAAAAAAGTGAGTTTCAGACTACCTCCCACTCTTCTAGCTAGTGATAGTATATGGCTTCATTCACAGATTCCCTGAGTTCTTTAGTTCCATTAAATAATAATAGTGATGATAGTGACAACAACAATTTGTTAGGTGCCAATATGCTAAGAATTTTCTTCCCTTCAGCCATGATCCAGTGTTTGCTAAGGACTTCTAATACATCATTTTGTTTTTAATATTTACAGTATGTATTAAAAAGAACTATTATTATGACAATGGTACAAAGGGGAAGCTAAGGCATAGAGAAATGAATATTTCCTCAAGTGGCAGTAAACTGATAAAAATTTGAGGGCAGAACTAGAACTCCTCCCAACCCCATCCCTCCTAGTGCATTAGAAGGCCCTTGAGAAATACTTTTTCAAACATGAGCGAATGAGTGAATTAGTGAAATGGTAGCATTTGAAGGACCTCACCGTTTCTAACTCACATTATTTGATCAACAGTACATCTCTTTCTCCTCCTTGCTCAGGCCTGCCACAGTGAGGCTTCAGAGAACATCAAGGGATTGCTGTCCAACATCAGATTTCAATCCAATGCTTTGCATATTTTAAAGCATTGTATTGTAAAAACAGGAGAGGAACATGGCTCTGTGAATAATTTACCACCTTGCCTCAGAGAAATTAAAAATATATTTCATGGAGGAAAAGAAAATAGACTTTTGTTACGTGGGATTTCAAGAGACTGAAACCAAAGTACGGCTTTTTATAGAAGAGTCAAATAGCTGCAACAGCTTTTTTTCTCAGGTGAAATGGGAGTTGGGAGTCATTCACAGGAAAGTGCAGAGGTGAATACCACACTCTGGAGAATGTACCTCATTTCACTTTACAGTCAAGTATAACTTATACTAATGATTTCACACTGAAAGTCCTAATTAATTTAATATCTGCTTAGCAAGAGATGTAAATAAATGTTGACCATTTGGTTGTTGGAATACATAGGTAGTTTGATGAGTAACCAAGTTGATTAAAGAGATAATTAACATTCAATTTTAATAATAATGCAGGCTTTATGACCAGAAACCCTTAATTTTTTAACCTAGCTGTATTACTTATTAGCTATAACTCCTCTGGGTCTGATTTTGTTATTTATAAACTAAAAGTAAGAATTAGGATTTAACTTGTAGTTTTAAGACATACAGACAATATAAAATATCTACAGTATACCTATTCATATTAATTAGTGGCTAAAAGGATACTAAGGGTGAATGAATTTCTACAGCCAACATCTCTATTCATATTCCTTAGGTTAGCAAATTATTGATTGTCCATTCATCAAACTATACACAAAATTTCTGGCCTTAGTAAGCCTTAGTAAGCAAACTGCTTGCTATGCAACGAGGACCTAATTTTAGATTCTCAGAACCTATGTAAATAGGTATCCATGAGAACATATGCCTATAATCTAAGACAGGAAGCAATTCCAGCCTATGGCTGGACTCCATGAATATATATATGCACACACATATATCCCCACCTGAACAATTGCTGATGTCCATAAACATGTACATGCTCACAAACTAACAGTGAATAGCTAGCCTGGAAAGCAACCCCCTGCAGTTATCAAGCCATGGCCTATGGAGTTAAATGAGCCTAATCTTGAATATCCCAGAGGAAAAGACTCCCATTGGGATCATACCTTGCTCTGTCCAACAACATAGTAATTATTTTTCCTGGCATAGTCCATAACTAAGTACATCTCAGCAGCTCTACACAGGTGCTGAAACACTAAAGGTTTTCAGAAAGTACAGTGAACTTAGTTACCAAAGTGGGAAAAAAAGAAAGAAAGAAACCACTTTGGTGCATCAGGGATATGAAATGATACATTCAGGCAGGACATGTAACCTAAATGCCCCAGTTTGCACCAGTTCCCATAGTTCCATTGTCTTTTCATTGGTTTCAATCTACTCTCTTTCCTCATTCTCTCACAGATGGATTGCCCTAGAAGGGAATATGGGAAAGGCTGAGTAGAGCAAAGCAATTGACCTACTTTTCTGTTAACCTATTCCAAGCCCATATAAGAAGCATATAATAGTCCACTTATATAATGCTAACCTCATTAATCACCTCTTAATGTTGACTTAAACAAACAAACAAACAAAAAAAACCAATTTGCTAAAAATGCCTGACATTTAATTTTCTTAAGATTAGGTCCCACTCAAGAAGGATGACAAGGATCACATGAAACATTCCTAACAGTTTATTCAAATGTTAATTACACAAGAGTTAATACTCCCAAATTAGACTTTGTAGAAATGTGGATTATCTCTTCAGACATGATCACAGCAGCCAAGGTGATGAGCATCCCTGGAAATGCATGCTATGTGGAGATATACAATGACATGGAGGTGAATACATCTTGGCTCTCAGAGCATCTCATTCACTTGTCATCCTGGACACAAAATGATGGAATTATTTCCCAGTAGTTGGTATCTTACCTCCCAATGTAGCAGAGATGAGCAGGTGTGTGCCGTATTTTTTAATGATGGTATCAATGAACTGTTGAGTGGTAGGTCTCCGGCCAAGCAATCGGATGCTCCTTTGAAACTCCGGCATGAGGGGCACTGGATAGCGGACTAGGTCTCTCCTCTCTATGGCTGTGTTCCTCACCTTCCAACGGGCAAACTCCCTGGGCAGGACAAATGAGCAAGATTACTTAGCTTTCATTTGTAGCTATGAGCCAAAAACCACCCATCCACCCCATGCAGGCACCTCTCCTAGATGAGAGAATATCTACAGTTACTTCCAATTCTTTTTCCACATTGTATCCAACTAGGTAGTCAAGCTAGGCTGGAATTCACCCAATATCTCTGGCAGTATTGAGTTCATGATGCTTCTGGTTCCACTTCTCAAGTACTAGGATGACAATTGTGTATTCAGCTCTATAAATGCTGTTTTATTTGTTATGTGACACTTTCCCTTAGAATGTACAACCCTCTATAATTTGCAAGTGTTTATTGAGAATCACTGTGATCATTAGGATACTTAATCAAAGCAAGGACCAGGCCCTGAAGTTTCTTGTTAAACATCAGGAATACAAACAGAAAGACTGAGGGAAATAAAATAATAATCATGATTTATAGATAACAAATGATTAAGATAAAGATTTCTATCCACTATAGTCACAAGTTTAGCAATTTCATTGTTCAATTATCACACTACTCCTTTAAGAGCAGATTACTATCCATTTCTGATTCCTTTTAGATGAACTAGATCTCCAATCCCACCTATTTACTTGCCAATCACTCTCATTAGATTGTAAAACATTAAATAAATAGAAATTTTCTCATTTAATCCCAGACTCACTAATCAGCTCAGTAATGTTCGAAACGGGAGGATTAAATACAAATCTTGAATGGAGAATGAAGAAGCAAGTGGATGAAACAATGTAAGGGAAGGAGGAAGAGAAGTATTGAGGAAGGAATGTACAGAAACAATGGACAAAATCTAAACACAGCTATCTATACTCAAGACATTTCACAAAGTAAGTGTAGGGCCCAGAATTCATGATAATGCTTTTCTTCAATGGGAGTTCACAGAACTCATACTATTTGGAAGAAATAAAACAATGTTCCAAATACCATATGGAGAAAATATGAATCTCCCCTCTTCATTGACTATAGAAATGAGCAATACAGAGAAGCAATGAATGCAAATATTGTTCAACCTACTGAAAATCCTGTGCTACAGAATTAAATAAAGAATTTTCTTCCTCTGTACATAATTCTTCATCTATAAAATTCGAAAAACACTATTTCATGCTGCTGATATGGGGATTCTGTGAAAGATGGTGTGAAAATGTCTTTGGAAACTTCAGGACATTAATGTGAAACTTTATTTTTTTATAACTTTATCTTGTCAAAAATCCCCAGGTGTGTCCTTGTAAATCATTAAAGGCACATTCATAGAGAATTTGGAATATGCAAACTAGGACACAAAACAGAGGCTTAGTGGCTTTTAATTCAGGTTGCTTTTGTGCTAACAGAATGGTGCAGCTTGCCTGAAGTTACCATGTTACCATCTTTCTGATCTGCCTTGGATACAAACTCTGTCCCTTGAGATAAATACAACAGCCAAAGGGTCTATAGGTCATCCCAGATGAAAACCAACATTTATTGAAAAGTGATTTCTCTCTCTCTCTTTCTCTCTCTGTATCTCTCTCTCCTTTTATAGTATAGGAGAGACAGATGAAGACAGAGCAAGAGAAAACAGAACCATATAAGAATCAGGCATGAATAAGATCTAATAATTCAGTGGTGATAACTGAGCCTCAGCTTATAAAAACCTGAGTTTGAAAAATATTTGAAATCAAAATACATATATGAGATTGAGCAGCTATGATCCATATTTGAATAACTGATTGCTGTCCATGACATTGAATAGAATTCAGATTCCAAGGCAACATAAAGCATCATAGACAGCTATACATGTTAATCAAATGCAGTCAACAAACCCCTAAAGGGTACATATGATCACACCATAGTGCCTGTCCTGAGGTAGCTACAGTCCAACAGGAAAAGAAAAGCACTTCCAGATTGTTGTAACTAAGTTGTACAGGACATCACGGAAGAATATGAATATCCCATGCCTTTGAGGAACAGTTCTGAGATGAAGGCATTGAATATTCTATTTTGATGTTTGAATGTGGTGTTGAATAATAGAAATGCAGTCCAAAGCATTATACACGTGAATAACAGGTCAGGAGCAAAGGAAGTGATCATTGTAGTTAGAATATTGTGGTTTAGGAAGGATCAGGATAAACAGATAGGCGGAATACATGTTTATGCAGGGAGAAATAACTTACAACCAGGACAAATGAACACCAGCAGGTTCCACTGGATGCTCTCCTCTCCACATCCTGCCAGCTCTGCCAGCAAGAGAGCGTTTCCTGGCTCCTCCTTAGGCCTAGTTCCACCGGTCACTTCTGCCCCTGGCTCCACCCCCAATGGGCGTGGTCAGTGCCACAGAAGGAGACAAAGAGAATATCCCTCTACAAATCCCCTTTTAGTCTAAAGAAAAGATTTAGGCTTGATACAAAACTATATACAAAACTGTGAATAACAAGTGTGCTCGAAGAAAAGGAAAATCGAAAACAAAACGACCTACATATCTAGACCTAGGGTGAAGGCATAACGGAGTTTATAATAGAGTTGTCCTAAGCTGGAAAACTTAAGTCTAGTACCAAATATATCTAAATAGGAAGAGAGAATAATAGTTATGATAGATTAATCTTCAACCTCATCAAGACCTTGAGAAGGAAAATAACGATACTAAGGTAGACAGGAAGGGCTGATGGGAAACTTCCAAAAGAAGCAGTGAGGACGGAAACAGCAAGCTACCTGGACAGTCACCCAAGGTCTCACAGCAATGGTGGTACCCCCAGTTTTGGCTACGGCCAAGAGTACTTAACTGAACACCACAACAACAGGGAGGTAGAAAGGCTGTCTTACACTGACTTGGCAAGGTTCAGCAGTCTTCTATATTTGTCTCCTGCAAGCACATAAGACCCCATGTCCAAATCAGTGGTCAAGGTGGGGGCAATCCTTTGCCTAAGAGGTCATTAGCCGAAGCAAGGATGAACTCCAGAAGGAGCAACAACAGTGCCCAACATATTTTCAGGAAAGTGCATGGTGCTGTCAGGAGCAACAGTGTCTCATGTCAATGGAGTATTAATATTAAAACATTTAAATGCCATATTCTGCATGTCTATGAAGTAATTGAAGATTAAGTATCTATGTTTGACTAATCTCATAAGTAAAGGAAACATGGGTGAAGGCGTCCAATGTGGCTAATAAGAACTTCCACTTAAAATTTAACAAAACCTTAAAAAAGAGTTTTACAATCAAAAGAACAAAGACAAGCAAGATTTTTGCTAACAGCATTTTTCTGGGTTGGACTATGTTTAGCGCGAGACAAGAAAGATTTGTGTGGCTCCTTTAACCTTTAAGGGAGGTTTCCTGACTCGGCACAAGCGGCCAAAAAAAAAAAAAAAACAAAAACAAAATCAAAAACAAAACAAAACAAAACAAAAAAAAAACGCAAGGCTTTAAAGAAGCACTGCTAACAATTCATTGGTGTGTATGAGAGCTGCCACACACATGTATTTAAGAAATACACATGTATTTAAGAAACCACGTGTTTTGCCACATGTGCATATTTATTGCGAACTTACTTCTGTGGTCTGCTTTTTTCATGTAAACTTTCTTATATGCCTCAAAATAATATTTATCTATCCTTGAACAATTTATTTTTGTAATATATTCTCTATTTTGCAATATTTTCATATATAGTTACATTTTCAAATAATAAAAACAAGAAATTAATAATATTTCTAAAAGGAAATTATGATGTATTATGAATATAATCTCTCACAATATGTGAAGAAGAAGGAATAATATGAAAACAATTGACATTAAATTTTAGCTATATCCTGGAAATGCCTTTTTTGAGGTCTTGATAAATTATCACATAATTTTATTAATAAAACACATTTTCAAATTTTTACTTTTAAAATAGTTTTAAACAAATACTACTTATATCTCTTTGATTCTCTATACATTCAGTGCCTATTGGTTGTCCAGGAAAAGCATATGAATTCTTTTTACATAAATATCAGTATATACTTTTGCATAGTAAAGTTTGTATTCTGGAATTTTAGCTCTGTATTTAGATGTTAACCCTGAAAAGAAAATGTCTTTTTCTTTTTTAATAAGTTTCATAATGGAAAAAGCATGTCTGTGTTATAAGAAAGGAAACATCCCCGAAGAAATGGCACTGCTTTCTATTGCCTGGCTGCTATCCTTGTGATGGTATTTAGAACTCTAGTCTTTCATAGGCTCTGCATGGCTGAAACTATCAACATGAGGGGTATTCCCTGAAGCTATCAGGCCCCTTACTTGATTGTACTTAATATCTTCTCCCTCCAACTGAGTGCTTAGCAGGTTCCTTTTTATTGTTATTTAAATTGTATTACATGACAATCCCAGTTCCCTCACACTCCTACCCTCCTCCCTCTATCACACAGACCTAACCCCAGCTCCTCCCCTTCCTGCTCCCCAGGGAGGGTGAGGCCTCCTGTGGGGAGTCTTTAAAGTCTGTCATATCACTTGGGGAGGGCCTAGGCCCTCCCCCATTTGTCTAGACTGAGAAAGTATCCCTCTATTTGGAATGGGCTCCCAAAGTCCATTCGAACACACGAGATAAATACTGATCCATTACTAAAGTCCCCATAGTACTCCTAACCAACACCCACATTCAGGGAGTCTGGGTCAGCCCTATGCTGATTTCCGGGCTATCAGACTGGGGTGCATGAGCTCTCCCTTGTTCAGGTCAGCTGATTCTGTGGCTTTCTCCAGCCTAGTCTTGTCCCATTTGCTCATCACTTCTACTTTTCTGTAATTGGATTCCAGGAGTTCCACTAGTATTTAGCTGTTGGTGTCTGCTTCTGCTTCTATCAGCCACTAGATGAAGGCCAATATAAGGTAATTGTCAATCTCATTATCACGGAATGGTATTAAAGGTAGCTTCTCCCTTATTCCTTAGATTGTTAATTGGGCTCATCCTTGTAGATCTCTGGACATTACCCTAGTGCCACATTTCTGCTTAAATCTATAATGATTCCCTCTATTA